GTGGGTTTGTCTGTTTTAATCTTGTAAGCTGCCAAGAGCCACATGTGAGAAGAATGGCTATATAAATCATATAAATAAAATAAAAAACAAAGTAACTATTTCTGTTTATAGCTTATACAATACATGGTCTCAAAGAAATGCTTTCTGAATTTTATTTTCATATATACTTTAATTTGGAAGGTCATTTTAGGAATGAGAGGAGAGCCCAACAACTTTAACATTTGGAAAAGAAAACTTGGCCCCAGAACATCATATGAAGATATATTAGACTGAACCATGAGAGACCCCTAGTGGGGGCCTTTGTCTACATGTGTGGCAAATGAACAAAAACTACTTTATTGCTACTGATAAATATATTTAAAAATATAATTGGAAAGGACCTCAGTCTTCTTGCCTCAGAGACTGAATTGATGAACGAATATTACAATCCATGGACAACCTGTTCCAGTTGTTTTAATGCTAGAATACTAATCCTAGATTATTTTGATGACAGCTATTTGTTATTTTGTCACAACAAAGAGAAAAAAACGGAGGCCTATTCTAACTAAAAAGACTAATGTGAAGGTGGAAAAGCGTTGTGGACCAATCAATCCTTGATTAAACTTACAAGTGAGGGCTGATATAAACCTCATGGGCAAAAGACTGATTAAAATGGCCCAGTCTTAATGGATACAGATAGTTTCCTGAATATACTTGGGAAAGTTCCCACATCATTTATCAGCAATACTATTGACCTATGGAATATAGAGATATCCTTTAGCTCAGAAACTGTTTAATATTACTCTCCACTGAGTTATCCTTCTTCCTGATCACTAACTTCTAGTGTAACATTTGAAACCCACCTCTACCATTCTATGTCATGAACTCTCTGATATGGGTCCTTTCTTGTTTTTCTTTCTTCAAAATGGAAGTATAATCCCATTAACCCAGGATACCTCTAAAATACCTACTGGTTTTGCTGCACCAGCAAATCCTTTCCTGATTTAGAAATTCTTTTGTTTTTCTCCTGTTTCTTTATACTTATATCTGAGGGATGTAACTAAATGGCACATGGGGAAGATATAAAAGAGCACAGTCACATGAACTTTTTTTTAAAGTAAAAGTTATTAGAATAGTTACTCCCACAACAATGACTCTAAGCATCCACAGGATCTTGCTAAATTGTCAGAATGACTAATCCAACATCATGGCACAAGCTCCACCCTTTCTGGCATACATGCAACACACATACAAAAAGGGTGAAGTTTGCATTTCAATGCTGCTTACACCAGTTTGATCTCCGCTCCCCCAGGAGATACCACTGTCTGTACAATACATTGGGTTGAGAGAGTATGACTGGTCTAAAGTCACCCAGTGAGCTTCCATTGCTAAAGGCAGATTTTAGTCTAGATCTCTCTGGCTTTAGTCCAACAATGTATGTTTAGAAAAAAAATTGTATTATCAAACCCCGTGTTTAAATCTCATATACAGAAAGCTGTTGTGCTAAAACTAATGAGGCTATTATCTGCAAAACAGTTTTTGAATGGCAGGGATTTGAGGGTTTTTTAAAATCCATGTGAAAACAAGAACAAACAAGTTATTTTTCCTCGGTATTTTTCAGCCACCCCCACATGGCTTACTTTCATCTTCTAAGTAGATTCTTTTTACTGTAATTAACTCCAATCAAGTACACAACTTTTAGTAGCTTCTTATTTTGTGCCTGTTTTGTATTATTCACTATACAGATTCAGATGATTATATACATGCTTTAGAAGTAGCCAGACTTCAAAAGAAATGCTAACTGCATTTTTAAAAAACACGAAGTGCCAGTGTTAAAAAAAATGCCTTAAGAAGTATTTACTCTGGGACAATAGAAAAAATAATGAAAGTTACATTGTAAACTTAGAGTAAGAGTTCAATGTAAATTGTTACTTATATCTGTTGTGAGGAAAGTCGGAAATCATTCTTTTTTGTATTTGTTTCCTTCTTTCCTCTTTCTTTTTTCCTGCACTTTTGACTTTATTCTCTCTTTTCTTTATTTTTTCCTTCTTTATCTTTAATACTAGTTGTTAGTTTTTATTGTTCTTATCTTAAAATCTAATAAATAATAGTTATTTGAAAAAAAGTTATTTACTCTGCTAATTCCTTTTAGACAGAAAAATAACACTTCTGGACTGAATGATTTCAAGAACAGAATAGAATCTGTGCAGAAATTGAATCAAATACGGTATTTTGACAGTTAATTTACATAATATCTTTTGAAGTCTGAAGAATAATCTCACATATCATAAATTGTATTTCATCCATGCTGCAAAGATAATCCCAAGGGGAACCACTGATGGAAGATAGTGGGCAATCAATCCAGAGCCTCATTTTACAAAATATTATTTGATTGAAGAGACATTTACTTTCATAATAAAAAGAACCTTTTAAAAAATGCATAGAGAGAATCTCTAAATTGTTCTGAAACAACTGGATTTAAGGACAGTTTCTATTCAGTTAAATATTTTTTAAATCTTTAATTATTTGCTGCTTTTAAATCGTATTTCGAATAAAAGCTTAAAATAGTTTATCTCCTTTCTCAACAAAAGATAATATTGCCTGACCCAATGGAACTGAAGTGTATGCATACTTGATTAACATATACGGTACCTATACCTTGGAGTGTTTCCAGTTTGCTTGGATTCAGTGTCCTCTTAAGTACACCCATTTCTACTAAATGGGCTGCAGCAATATATTTTTTACAGCTAAAGTGAGAGTTTAAGACAAACGTTTTCAATTTTACACAGAGTTGAAGAGAGAAGTTAAAGTTCGGTATCAACAGTCCCCATGCCAGAATCCAAAACAGTTGGCATCAGGTGCAGGACAATATATCATGAAAAGTTTGTCTGATTCTAAACTGGACCCAGGTTTGAAAAAGCATGTATCTGTTGCAGTGCCGATGCTTCTAAAGCAATATTTCCAGATATCCAGAATATCTACCAATATTATAACTGAACAGAATGCCAGCAAGCATAATTACTGAGATAACTGTGTCACTGATGCCTGCGCTATTACTTATTTTTTCCCATTTCACTACACTGAAGAAGCACCAGGAATGGATGCAGATATAGCCTGCCAATGAATAAGTGACTGATAATATGCCATTTGAGTAGAAAGGAATCAACAAGCTTAATTTATAAGTAGGATTATGGAGGAAGGGGAAAATAGAATTCTGGTAACTGATATAATGACCTAAATACCCAATGAACAATGTGCTTCATTTTAATAAAAAGAGGAAATGGAAGAGAATATATGTAGCTCAGGGTTGAACTGAAGAGTCCATGGGGTTCTCTGAGCTTGGTTGTTTTCTTGCAAGTGTTTAATTAACCGGCTAGGTAACATTTTCAGTGCTAAAATGGAGTAGGGTTTGCTCTCTGTTTATGTACAGTAGCTTGCCCTGCCAGTGTTGGTGGGGGTGTGGATTTTTTCCCCCCCATGGTAGTTCCTTGACTAGGGTATTGTTTACTGCTTGATTGTTTGGTGTTAATTTTGGTATTAATATCTGCTTATCTGGGTGATGATTGCTGGTGAGGAGATATTCTGGTCTTTTTGTTTCCTTTTTATTGTCTCTTGAATAGTGTGTAGATGTTTATCATCTCTATGTGCCTGTTGATGGCTGACTTGTCTGAATTCCAAGCTTCCAGGAATTCCCTTGCATTTTTGTATTTAGCTTGGTGTAAGATGCTGA